AAATTTTATTAACTTAAATAAAAATATTCTTTAATCAATAAATATAAAGATTTTATTTTTTGTTAAAATAATCAGTAGCATTACGAAATTCATTAACTTGCACCTCACATTCATCCCAAGTTAAATAAATTCCTGGTTTACGTCCTTTCGTATAGCATAATATCCCGGTTTGGTTTTTGGCATCTAAAAAAAAAAATTGAATCGGTCAGTCGGTCGATCAATCAACAAATAGTCAGTCTAGTGAGAGTTAGTATCAAGTAAAAGAAGCGAATTCTTAAACAAAACAGTTTGGAGCTCTCTCACCTTTTAAGCTGTGAAAAAATTGCGCAAAGAAAAGTCTAATCAGTCTTGGACTGATTAGTAGGTCGTTTATTAGCTAAAAAAATTATAATGAATGCGAAACAGAATAGTGTAAAACAAAGAGAAAAGCATTTGCAATAGGTTTGAACCGATCTCGATTTTAAACCCCATTTTTTAGTTTCTTAGGAAAATAGTAGAGTTTATATATATTTTAGAATAAATTATGGAATTTCTAAGAGAGCGTTGTAGTACATGAACAAATTTGTATTAAAATAAAATAAATAAAAAAATACAACCGTTAATAGTATAAAAATAAATTGAGGTCATGAAAAATGAGTTTTAACAAAAATGGAACTGAAAATTACAGGAGGTGAAATAGTAATTGCAGAAAACTCCAGATTAACAATAAAAGTTTATGAATTAGAACAAAGAATACACGCTTTAAATTTTGATAAAAATGAATTGATTCATAGAGTTGAAGAACTTGTGAATGAAAAGGATCGACTTGAAACAGATAATAATCAGATTCGTGCAGCAAATAAGAATCTGACGCGATTGAATAACGCGTTAAAATTGTTTTGAGAGATGCTGAAGATGAAAGAGACCATTATCGTGCGGCAAATATCAAGGAGTTTGAGGATTTTATTTCGAATTATATTTTTGGGTTGTTTGATAATATTGGAACATTGTTTCGATTTAATAATCAATACATAACAAATATTGTGAATTTGTTGAAATTTTATAATTTTTTCCAGATTCCAATTGTTTTTCACTATGTCAAAATACTTTATAGAAAGTTTTTGTGGCCCATTTTTGTTATCCCATACATAAATCTCACAGAAATGAAAAGGATTCGTATTGTTGAAGTACTTTTTGTAAATATTGTCACGGTTTCTTTCAGGCTTTATTTACTTTTTTTTGTGTTTGCGAAGTTTGACAAAGAGTGTATTATGTTTATTATTTAAATAACAATTATAATTTATTGACTATTAAAATTTAAAAGCAATAAACTAATATAAATATAACTAAAAAATTACTGGGTAGCCATTACGATTCCCTGTTTTCTTATCATGTTCTAACTTGTATTGAATCGCTAATTGCTTTGCTTGTTCACTAGTTTTATTTTTGTTAATACAAAACCATTTAATTTTATTTTTATTATTTTTTCACTATTGAAATCCCCAAGCTTTAAGTATTTTATGATAATAAATTCCATTATAATTAGAAGTATTATTTTTTTGTAATTTACAATTGAGCATATTTTCTTGATGTGTTGTTTCTTTTAAATTAATCTCATGATTATCAAGACCATCACGATTAATATGATCGGTTATTTTCCATTTGGGATGAATCAATTGATGAATCAATTTTCTTTTGTTATTATTTTTAATATAATATATGTTTCTGTGTTTCCAACAATACCACGTATACTTTTTCAAAAAATGAAAATTCTCTTTATTGAGTAAAAAAAGTAATTTCAGGATTTTGTGTCTTGACTTCTAAATAGATTGTAAAATTGATCTTCACAAGGCGATATTCATTCAGTTTACGTTTAGGATATTTTGGATTCTTGTATTTCTCCCAATCTGTAAAGATTTTGAAATCTTTAAATTTTTTTGACCAATTTGACATTTTTATTATTAATAAAAAAAAAGATACACTAGAAGTATTTATAAATTACTTCTAGATTATAT